AAAGTACTTTAAAAGACCTTCAATTTGAACCGGTACACGTTTAATTTAATTTATTTGTTATTGCAAAAACAAAATCGCAAAAAGCAAAAATTTTTAATCTAATGAGCCATAGTAGGCCTAGATCACTTAATTTGTTGCTGAGATACGTTAATTAGTTTATCCCACGCCCCTTAACTTTGCATGCTCATAGGATTGCCAAAAAGAAATGGTAGAGGGTTCTTATTTCATTTTCTTCCTAAAGCCGTACATTTTCATAATCCACTGAAAATTAATGAAAAAATTTTTAACTGGTTAAAAACAATTATTTATGAAGTTGTAAAATTGCAGTTATAAACATTTAAAGCTGCAGCGCTCCCTATGTAACCTACAAATTTCTAATTTGCAGATTATTGTAGCTGGCTTCAAGACGAAGATTAAAAAAAAGTTTTTAATACGACCAATAGGAGCCGAGTTAGCATAATTTTTTTTTTAAATCACAGAAGCTTTATTAATAACAATTATGAAAAGAATCTGCCGTCATTCACTACTTAAAAACCTATGTTTTCAAGTATTAGTATTCTTCTTAAATTAAAAACATTATTTATTGTTAAAAATTAATAAAGTTCATCTTTTTTCAATGCAGCATCGAAACCGCATGTGTCAAACATTGCGGATGCCGTACGCACGGCCTAAAATGTACGAGAATTTGCGAAAATTGTAATGGGGTAATTCCAGCAATAATCGACACAAGTCGGTGGGGTCATCCTCTCCGATTTGGCAAAAATGTTACACACATGTTGCACTAGACAAAAAAAACATGATTGTCAAATTTACAGACCTTAATATTCAAAATGGCGGCCGTGGCGCGCTATTGAAGTTTCACGCTTTTTATCAATTTTTTTTCGTGTTTCGCCTTTTTTTTTAGTACAGCGAGCTATAACAAATATCCACTATATGTTTCCCAATGTAAAATTTCCCGCTGAACACGATCCCGGTGTCAAAATTGCCATATGACGTCATGGAAAGCCACAAAATGCGAAACAAAGGGCTTTTTTTGAAAAATTCATATCTCAAAAACACCCTCTTTAATTTTTTTCAAATTTTTACAAAGGACGCTTTAATATAAGTAATTTCGAATAAAAGTTGTCTTAGAAATCCTTTTTAAATGTTTCAAACCGCTGCGCCCTATAGGAGTCCAAAAAACGCGATTTTCCCGCCTTTTTTTTACCTATTTTCCTTCGTTTTTCAACTTCCAAATAACTTTTAGAGGTTTTCTGACAACGAATTCGGATTCTACGGAAAATTTTACTCAAAAAATTACTATTAAAATTACCACCGATTTTACCGTTTTATAGGGGGCGACACAATATTAAACGCAGAATTGCGCGCTGTAATCAATACATTTTTGCGCTAGGATTTTATTATTTTATAAAATTTATATTTTTTATTTATTTATTTTTTTTTGAAGAGAGTTGCAAAAATTGTCATACTGCTGAATATGAACTAGATGACGCAGAAAAAGAATGTGAAAGTGAGATGGATGTTTTAGATGAATTGTTATATGATTCCGAGGAAATTGTAGAACCTACTAAAAAAAGAAAAATAAATAAAAACTAAGCATATTTCTGATTTTATAACTATTGAGTAAATTACAATTATTTTACTGTTTATATCTTTGTTTTACTAATTTATTCCTTTTATCAAAGTAATTTGCAATTTAAGATATACGTATATATGATGTTTATTTTAATTTATTAAACCAATTATTTAATTTCTCATGAAATTGTACTAAAAATCTAGTTTGAACAAAAGTTTTTAAAATTAATTTTTTTGAGTTTTTTTTTGTAAATAGATTGTTTTTAAATAGAAATTTTAATCATTTGAACTTAACATAATTTTTCACTGATAAAAATTACACAGCGGGGCAGAGTAAGTATTAAAAAAAAGATAAATACTGAAATAATAGAAGTCTATATTTTAGAATATAAATTTTTTTAGAAATGGGGATGTTTCATGGGGATGTTCTTAATAATAATTTGGTAATAGATTACGTTTAATAGTATTGTAAAAGTAAAATGATTGAAAAAAAATTGAATATTAAAAAATTTTTTTTAGTGGGTTGGGGGTAGTTTTTTAAGGGATAAAGTATTCCAGATGTTATTATTTCGATGAGCTACCCCAGAATAAAAAAAAAATCGTCGAAATCGGTTTATTTTTCACCGAGATATTGAAAATTTTTTCAGATTTAGTTTTTTTCTCGTTGCGCAGAGTCATCCCCACCACTACTTCTGTGCCATCGCTTGAAAAAAGGTAAACTTCTTCGTCTTCGACTTGAAGCTAGCTACAATAATCTGCAAATTAGAAATTTGTAGGGTACATAGGGGGCGCTGCAGCTCTAAATGTTTATAACTGCAATTTTACAACGTCATAAATAATTGTTTTTAACGGGTTAATTTTTTTTTCAATATTTTCCAGTGGAATATGAAAATTTTCGGCTTTAAGAAGAGGATGAAATAAGAATTAGCACTCTACCATTTTCTTGGCAATCCTATGAGCATTCAAAAAGTTGAAGGTCGTGGGATAAACTAATTAACGTATCTCAGCAACAAATTAAGCGATCTAGGACTACTACGGCTCATTCAATTCGTAATTTTATCGGCTTAAATATCATACATTTGAAATAAATAAAAATGCAATTTTACAATAAATATTACATTTTTTTTACCTTCATTCATCATTTTTGCAATAACAAATAAATTGACTTAAACGTATACAGGATGAAATTGAAGATATAAAGAAATTACCCATTACAACATTTACCTTGGGCAAAAAATTAAAAAACTCAAAAAATACGTATTTTGCACCTATAAACGCTCATAAATAAACAAAAAACAAAAATTTTTTGTTAAATGAACTGGCGGATTGCTGCTGAGGTTGCCCTTTATAACCTAGGACACATTACATAAATTCTTGGATTACAGTGTAAAATCACCCATTTCCCCCACAACATGGGCTAATGACGGAATGACTACTGAAAAAAATTATAATGTTCCTAAACCTAAAGTAGTAGAGGAAAAAATACCAAATCCCATAAGAGAAGAAATTTAAAAAATAATAAAAGATACGAAAAATTAAAAAGCCCTGGGGAGTGCAACATTGTGGCAGAGAACTTAAAATATGAAGGTGAGGCTTGACGAAACTAACTTTGTGAGTTGATACTAGAAGTGTGGGATGCCAAAGAAATGCCCCAAGACGACTTATTGTCTTGTTATTCCTTTTCTGTGATGGATTTATTTATTTGCTGTTTTGGTGTCCTGTTATAAAGGTTTTTCACCTCTTCAGGACGTTATTTGTTTTTGTTTGGGTGGTGTTTTCTTTCGCTGGCTTTGTGGGTTTTACTGGTGGTTGGATTCAACAACTGTGTTGGAACAAGTCTATTATAATGCCTTTATATAAAAAGAAAGGTAGAACTGAATGCGCAAACTGTAGAGTAATATCCTTGTTAGAGGTAATACACAACGATTTCGCCAGACTAATCAAAAAACGATTAGAAATATATGTGGAGAGAAATGTAGGGGAATACCAGGGACATCATACTTAAGGGAAGATTAACAACCGATCAATAACATGTTATAACAAATCCTGATCAATTGCTATGAATACATTTCAGCACAAGTACCTTTCATTGATTACAAGGCAGAGAAAAGAAACTCTAAAAGAATTCCAAGTACCAGAAAAAAATAGTAAAATTGGTAAAAATGACAATAAAACAAACCATTTGTGCGGTGAAATACAGTGATACAGTCTCAGAAGAAGTGAAAAAAGAAGTTCGCCAATGAGATCCGTTGTCTACATTGCTGTTCAATGTAGTCTAGAAAAAATTGTAAGGGTTAGTGGCATAAAAAGATCCAGTACTCTTTTCTATAAAGAGCACCAATGTTAAGCGTACGCTGATGATAGCGTACGTGGTTCTCATTGCAAGAAATGGAAAATAACTGGCAAGTATAGCAAAAAGACTGATTCGGGAAAGCTCTAAAATGGGACTGAAAGTTAAAATTAATAAATCCAAGTACTTGAAAAACTAGAAAAAGAAAAAAAAAAAGGATGAACATCAGGGGCTCCTTTAAATTAAAGGTGCAAGATGCATCAGTTTCAGAGATGCAGAGAATTCGAGAAGGTGAATAAATATTTATATACTTGAGTAGCTTTATTGACCAGACATGTATGAAAGAACCTGAAATCAACCTAGGACTGAGCAAGACCAGCAAATGTGCTGGGGTCATGAACAATGTAATTAAGGCCAAAAATATATCTCGTAATACAAAAATAAGAGTATACAAAACTATAATTAGACCAAGAATGCTATACGCTGCCGAGACATGGACTATGATTAAAACCGTACAGATTTGATTGAAAGCATGAAAAAGAAAAATACTTCACGGAATGTTTGGCGTAAAAGTAGTAGAGGGAGAATGGAGAAGACGAACGAATGTAGAAGTGTAGTAATTTTATGCTACTTAAGGGCAAAAAAAAGAGGAAGATCAAGAAAGAAATTAACTTATATAGTGATGGAAGATGTCAGAGACATGGGAGTCAGAGATTCCCATCTTTCTGACAATGATAAGTTGATAGCTAAGAACAGAAAACGATAGAAAATATCCATCTAGCAATGGGCCTAAAGGCATGTTAACGCCATTGATTACAAACCACGACCTAGATACCTCACTCTAAGGTAAAAACAAATTCAGTGTTAAACTCCGCCCACTTACACCTCTTTGCCCCTCACGCCTAAGTACTACCTGACTGTATGGTGGCGACATTTATTGAAATCTTTGCCAAGATTGAAAAATAAATTTGAGTTCCCTGCTCCGGCAATTCTCTATTGCAATAGAGGACGATATAAGGATGGTATTCAGCATTTTCACAAATAATTTTAACGTGCTTGTAATCTATATTATGAAATTCGAATTTTACTTCAGAAAAAACGTTAAAAATTGATTAATGAAAACAATAAAGGTTTTCTAAAAATTATTTATTTATCAAGACAATACAAAAAAATAACAAAATATAAATCATGTGGTGGTGGTTTATAATTAATGTTAACGCTAAACATATATAACTACGTCTATTTCAACTCCTGTCTCATGAAAACTTTCGACTACTTCGTCTTTCTGCAAACAGTTTTCTGCTAGTTTATCCCGAAATAAGTCTGTATAATGTTCTTTCTTTCTAATGTTTCTATTTTCACTATCTTGAGTTGACTGTTTTTGTCTTTTTTGCCTTTTAACCTCCTTTTAATGGTCCAGAATTGTCTCTTATTTATTTTATATCATTCATTCAAGCTAAATCCGAATTATTCCCAGATTTATATTTTGCCATTTTTACTGCTCTTTTTGCTATATTTCTCTTTGTAACATATTTCTTTTTATCGTGTTCTATAAATGTTTGGCGGTATTTCTTCCAGACGGTATTTTCTTCTCCTTTTTATACCTATGATATTTAAAAAAATGTTATAGGTATAATGTTTAAACATTATCTAGAGGTTTACATTAGACAGATAATGACAATGAAAAAGCGGATGCAACAAGTAGATAACTAAAAAAAATATTTTAGAATTAACAACAAAGTATTTTGACCTATCCTTTTTTAAAGTAATTGCTTAATCTGCTCTACATTGTGTGAATTATATGATGCCTTACAAATATTGTAACAAACTTCATTAACAACTATAACGTTAAGATAATCAGGCCACCAGTTTCTATTTCATCTACCTAATATCATCAAGCGTCTGTTCAAATGCAAATGTGAGAAAAATTTGATTCATTCTGTAATGCTTTCACTTGAACAAGTGTTATAGTAAACAACACGATTAAGACTACCGACTTTTACCGCCATATTTGAAAAAAGCCGAACTAAAATGGTTACACGTCATACTGTTAGCGTTGTCATATCTTCATAGAAAGCCTTAATTTTTTTCTCTCGTGCGTTGTTCTAATCACGTATTCTACGTGAGCTTGTATTGCTAAAGATTTCGATAGGTGTACGCTCTAGATACAGACATTTTCCGGGTAAATGGAAAGTTTTGATATTATATAAAAATTATTATAGAAAATAACGAGAAACATTGCTAAATTCCGCTAAAGTAATCAATATCTGATTAATATTTATAAGTAGAAGTTTTTTATATGATAGTCTGACAATAAAGGATCATTTTTTGGAAGAAGACTGATACAATATACTGATTGCAGGCACTCAATGAGATCTCTAAAACAAATATTTTATATTAAGTGAGACGGAATTCTTGAACGATTCTGTTTTATTTACACAATCGTATGCTTTTTAAAGTCTATGTAGCCGTGGTGAAGACGGTAAATTTATTACCAAACTTTCCACATTTTTTGAACACCTAATTGCTTTAAAATATTTATTAAGGGCCACTGAAGCAATAAAACACTTAAGACGCATTTTTCCTTCGATTTATGGAACGCTATTAAAGCAATGGAACGTTTTTAGAGCAAAGAGAAATATTATCAGTAAAATATTGGGACCAACGAGAAAACAAAGAGGACGCAAGAAAATGGATGAATTACGAAATACAAGAATGATGGGTCAAGGGAACATAGTCAGAGCAATAAAAGCACAAAGAATTAGATGGTATGGATACATAATGAGAAAAGAGAAGAGCAATCTGTCAAAAGTTATAACGAAATGGATACTACCAGGTAAAAAAACCTGAGGCAGATCTAAACTGAGATGGAGACAACAAGTGGAAGAAGACTTAAGGAGTATGAAAATTGGAAATATATCCGAGAGAGGGAAAAATGGAGAAAAGTAGTGTAAACAGCGAAGTCACACCAAAAACTGTACAATCAAACCCAGAATGGCACATAAAAGGATCTAAGTGAAAACAGCTTCAGCTTCTTTAGGAGCGTGTAGCTTGCTACAACCGGCGTTCTTGATGTCGAAGATCTTTCTTTGGCAATCTTATATCACTAACTTCAGGTAGGGAACAAAGTGCAATAGATATACAAAATTCTTTTATAGAAAATGGCTTTTCTTCCACTTTTTATAAAGTTGGCAAGCGTTGACAACTGCCATGTCTATAATTTGCGTTATGAGACATCAGTACCACTTTTTCTCTCGTATGGGTGTATGGTGCTATTCAAGAAGCCATTCTTGCTATTCTACACTACTCATTAACTTGTGCCCGGCTGCGACATGGGTGTTTATGATTTTTCGTTTTTATTCCAGCTCGATGCTGAAGCCAGTGGTTTAATTGTGTCAAAATTGGTGACTATTGTGACACATTTACTATCGTTCAATCTCAGCAAGAGTATTTTGTTTTCGAGATCGAAAATTGAATTATGAAAACCTCGGGCACATTTTTCAATGTCCTTGGTAGCCTTTAGTGACGCACTTAAGATTCTGTCATTGCGTAAAGTGCCTGTTGCAGGATAACCTTTTTTCTTAAATCTGTCAATAATTTAATGGACGTGAAAAAATTGTTAAAAAAAATTTATTGGGAGCTTGAATTGGTAACAATGGACAACATATTGTTGACCACACGAGTTACAAGCGATTTAAAAGCTTTGTTTTGCTGCCTCTTTTCCACAGTAAAGGCAAATTTATAGCAATAGCCTTCATCTCCACAGATAGCCTATAATTTATATTTAAAACAAATTGGTTTTGAAGGGATAAATTGTTTCAGCGAGTGATGTCCATAATAACGTACTATCATTTCATCTATGGACAAATGTCCATGAAAAATATTCCATTTTTGAAAGTTCGAATTAACAATGGTCAATATTGTTTTCTGGCTTATCCTGAAGGTGTAAAAGAGACTTCAATTCTAGATAAGTATTCCGACTCATAGTCCCCGGGACCCCCACATTCCACAGTACCCGGAACATCAGTTACGTCTGACCGACCAATGTCATCAGCGGCAATGCCGTCCTTATCCGATTGGTCATCAACTTCTGGTGGAAGCGCAGCGATATCTGCTTCGATGTCCTCTAAAAACGGTACTCCAAGGCTTCTTTCATTGTTTTGAATGGTTTTTTTGTTCATTGCGATTTCTGGAACCAAATTATAAACATGTACAGAAAAATCATAGTAGTGCCCAATAATAACTCAATAATAACTCAGTAACATTAGTCCTTACCTATGTACCAACGAACCGATAATAAGTATATAACACAGCAGTAAGAAGAGACAAATCGAGTACATTTACACATCTCGAATTTTCACTAAGAAAAGAGAAATTGAATAAACACTTCTCTCTGAAACTGACACCCAAATGTCTTTTTATAAATGACAATGGACATACTGTCCTCTGATACGTGCCAGGTCATCATATACACAGGAAGATAAGGTGATCTACACATAGATCACTGGGCGGTAATGGGTTAAGATACCTGTACATGCGTACCTATACTCTCTTTAGCGAGTGATTTTGGATCTAAAGGATACTTCTGCAAACAAAATATTTAATGAAATTTTCGTATGTTTTCATTCGAATTTCTTCTCTCAACTTTTCTATATTTATATAGTAATCTGTTATGTGCCACAGTGTCTTATGTAACATATCAAAGAGGTTTGAAAATCAACTTCATTTCCAAAACATGTTAAATCCTCTTGACCAATCCGCTATCCATAGAAAAGTCCATGATTGGTTAAATAGTAAACAGCTGTAGTAATATTAGCCATTGTTTTTTTGTTTAGTTAGTTACGAGGATGATCTCCAATGAAATGGATGACAGAATAAGTAAAAAATAAAGAAAAAAATTCCCAAATACTTTACATGATAGCTCGTTGTTCAGAGTAGCTTATTATTAAATTTGTCTATGATCATATGAAAAATATTCGCTAGGTAACAAACACATTATTTGCCTATTTTTATTTAGATGATTCTGTTACTTTTTAAAAGAATCTTTTCTTAGGTGCGTTCCGACTTGTTTTAAAAATTTATCGACAGGTGTGACAGATTGAATAGAATCGATTTTCGTTAACGACCTGCGGCAATCAAAGACCTAGAATAAAATGTGATCAGCGGCAGAGAAATCTCAAGAAGAAAGTGTAGAAAGAACTCTCCCTGGCCTCCGGTAGAATAGCGTAGCCGGTGATGCTGTGCCGACTTGTCTACCGGTAAGCCGGTAACACGAAAAAAAACTGGTAGAGATGAGACGGACTAGACTATATAACTAAGATATAAAAGTAGTAACCACCGCTACAAAGATCACTGCCTATTTGGTTTAATGAGCCACGTATTCAAGGCATTCCTAGGCAATTGCCAGAGGGAATTAAAATAAATGGGAAGAGGTGAGAGAATTCGGAACGGCTGGAAATACGAGAAGAACTTTTTTGTTTTGCATGCCGTTACTAGTAAGCAAATGTTATGACTAAAGAGATGATGCCCTTATTCACTTTATCTATTACCAAACCACATTTGAAAATGTTACTAATACTAGTAATTAATTACTGATATAGGTGTTAGGTTAATTAGTCTCGATCACAAAGATATGAGCATGATCTATAAACTATACTGGAATCAAAAGAATGACCACATCCTCCTTCTCTTTCTACTGCTAGTTAGCAGACACAAGATTTTTTAACTTGTATAGCGAAATAACAAGGTTATTAAAATGTTTATTTTTTTAGTTGGCGTATGAGAATTTATTACACAACATATTAAAATATTAAACATATATATTATTTAAGTAAAGTAGGATCGTTTTAGCCTGTCGCATAAGTAATAAAAGTGTCTGTTCAGATTTGCCCCAGGTAGTCAGCGGTTCTCTTTGGTAGAGCTGATTTATCCTCAAGTACTACAGCCGACCAGTAGAAGGTTCGGTACCACAAAGCAGGTAGAAAAAGGAAAGCATAACAGAGTGGCTGTAACTAGAGTCATAAATTATTTTTCGGGCGTTAATCCGAAATAAGACATGGTAAAACGACTTCACTATACTTAATCGAATCTGGTGTCGCATCTCCATCTTATTTCGTCAATGGGCATTTCTTCTTCTTTATGTACCATGTCCTTTCAGAACGTTGGTTACCATCATAGCTATCTTAATTTTATTCACTGCCACCCTCAATAGCATGCTTGTATCAACACCATACCAATCTCGCAAGTTCTTCAACCATGAGGTTCTTCTTCCTCCTGGACTGCGTTTGCCTGCTATTTTTCCTTGCAAGATATTTTGTAGCAACCTATATTTGGGACCTCTCATTACATGTTCGAAATATTCCAGCTTTCTCTGCTTGATACTTTTTATGATCTCAGTAGTCTTGCTGAGACGTTCTAGTATTGTGGAGTTTCGAATCTTCTCCACCCAGGAGATGGACTCAATGGGCATTGGGAAATCGTATTTTAGATAGTCTGTCTCTCGGTGCCACGGTCTTATTTAGCAGATATTCAGATCTTCCATGTTGTGCGAACTGTGTTCTGTTCGTATTCCGTTGAGAGTTGACCATGATTTTCGTAAGATATAGCTTCTGTAATTCATGATATGTTTCTCATTATTGGATTCGGTCTGTCGCTCTGCAAGTTCTTCCTCTGGGGATTATTTGGATATTGTTGGATCTCAAGTTTATTGCATTTCTAGTTGGTGGTTTTCTGGAGCGCAAGCGATACTAGTTGGCATCAGCGATGTTTCTCTTTATTGGTCATTGCGTATTGTTAACTATAGTTTAAGACACTCTGAGCAGAGCATGTTGGCGACGGAGATTAGGAGGAGGTATGTGGCTTAGCAGTGGTAGTCATTCTGTTGGCGTATGGTGGTATTAGGCTGGGTATCTTTAATTTTTTTATAAGTGCTATTAAAGAACAAATAAAATTGATAAAAAATCGTCAAAAATCTGGTCGGGGCGGACTATTCTGGGTATCGCTAAGCTTCTTACAGGACTTAACTAACAAAGCATATCTAATGTAAGAATGTAATAAACTGTTGTAATGTAATAAAAATAATTATGCATTTCTTTTAGTAACTGTTATTTTTCTTACATAACTTTTAAATATTTTATGTTACATTATATGTTATGTTGTTAGAAAAGTTGCTTCCTTCTCTATCACTCGCTAACGAATTAGTATCAAGGTTCGGCTAATGATCAAGGTCTTAGTTCTTTCTCTCACACATTGTAATGAAATATATTTGCCTAACGGTGGTTCTCTGTTATAAGAAGCCGACAATTACACCGCCAAAATAAACTAGATCACTTGCATTTTCAATCATTTTCTTATTCATTAATAGAAAACTAAACAAGTGAGTTGTATTTTAGATAAAATTTTAATTATGAAACATAATATCAATTTGCCCAATCTTGCAAATATGAAAATTATAGAAATAAAGAAAAGGAAATGGTGACCCGTAATTGGCAACAACTTGTATTAGAATGAAACAGGTGATGTGAGAAGTCTCCGAGGCTTATCTTGAATACATTGGTACCAATAATACCTGTTCTTTAGTAATATTTGGGATATATATCTCATTTTATTTAAAAACATTTTAACTTTTTAAGTCATCATACATTTTATTTATATTATTATGTATTAGTAGTTTTAATATACAACAAAGATTTTAAAATTATAAATAACATACTGTAACTTGCAATCCATTAGACCAATCCTTTAATTTACGAAGGGAAGCTCTTTTCGTCTCAAAAATTGTACCTGGCGCTCTATCAATGCTTTTCACGTGTTAAGATTCGGTGTTTGTGCTTTTGCTGGCGATCTCTAGAACAGATGTTCGTGTATAATAACAGGTGCGACATCCTTTGAAGGGACAATTAGACAAGTGTATTTGCAAGCGATAACCATACTTATAATTGTTAACGAGATATTTGTTGATAGTGAGAGATAGATAGTGTTTTTGTAGTTGTAAGCTTAATAAAATTAGTTAAATAATTAATTTGTAATTACTTCACTTAATTCCTGAACCCACAGAAAAACGTACCAATATAATAGGACAACATGTTTGCTGTTTTGCAGTTCCGTATGGGTTTTCGTATTATTATTTGTGTTAGGAAAATTTAAACTCTCTGGAAATTTTAAATACAAGTGACGTCACTTTGTATAAATCGTAACTTGCAAGTGTTTTACTTTGAAAAATGGTATATCTTAATATATCTCTATAAGATATATATATATATATATATATATATATATATATATATATATATATATATTGTTATGATTGTTTATTTTGACTTTAATCTTAGTTTATTAAGCCAATAAACTAATACAACTTATTTGTTATCAAATGTAAAATAAACTCCTTATATTATCTGTGTTCGATGGATTCAAAGATTTTCCAGTTGTCCTTTATCGGGATAGAGAAGAAGGATAATAATAAAAGAAATTATTATATTACAAAAAAATTACGTTTCTTTATTTTATATGAACGAATAAAGCAATTATCAAATTCTGCCGTTATCTTATCAATCAGCATACAAGAAAATAAATGGAATTTTTATAATAATAAAATTTTAAATCTACGTACATTTATATTAAGTGAAAATAAATTTTTCTTAAATTTTCCTTTACTTGAAACAAAAAAACAACAAGACTTTAAACTTTTGATTAGTTAAACAAATCTCAATTCTCAAATTTGAATTATGTCAACACAGATCCTTCAACAGATATTAATTCCAATTGTACAAAACACTTACAGCTTACTTTCTTATTGAGTTGTATGTTGGAACATACCCAGAAAAGTCCAGTCTCCTCAACGATGTGATCTCTCCACCTCGGCTCCTTCCTAACGTCTCTGCAAACCTCCTGCACTAACCAAAAACACCTGATTCACTTCTCCTAAAACTCAACTACTTATTAATGACACAAGGACTTCCTTTTGTTAACTTGATGCCGTAAAACTACTTTCACATATCTTCACAAAATGCCCACGGTAGATACAAGGACCTCTTTTTAATCAACTTGTTATCTTCTTCTGCAAAACTATTCAATTATTTTCACAATGCCGGTATCCAACTCACGAAACCACACCCTATCTTGAGACAAACGACTGTTTCCTTCGATGACCAAATTATATCTAACTTCTCCCGTTCTCCTGATCGGCTCACAAATTCCCATTCCCCATGATTTTGGAAAAGCCTAATTTCGGTTTCAGAGAAAAACTAAATAGCTTACTTTAAAATTGTTTTGTCAATACACAATTTATACATATTTCAAAAGATTAGAATATGGTCATTTAATACTCGATTATACAAACAATGAAAAGATTAACTTACAGGTAAAATGTCTTCTAATTCTAAACAAAAGGTTTTTTTGATAATTTTGTTGGAAACG